ATATTTTGCATCCTCTCACACAGAACCAATTATCTTGTGATATCGTCAGGATTATGGTGTGAAGTTTGAGAAAGATGGTGCAGGATTTATCCAATTGGTGGGATTTAGGAACGAAGATCTGGTTATAAGTCATTTGGACCTACCATATAATCCATTGATCTCATTTTGCACCATCCTGGGCCTTTTGTGGTTTGTGCTTTAAAAAGATTCACAGTTTTTACATTCACATGAACCATCGGAATTAAGTAAACAGACTCAGTCAGCATCTCCAAGCCATCAGATTCTTCTTCTGGTTCTTCTTCCCTTCCTGTGACATTTAGAAAAATATTTATGTGCTATCATCATCAATCAATGTGGAATGAAGCTTCAACAGATGTTATACTTTTCAAACATGGATGTTTTATGCTAAATTTTGATGGAGTTCAGGGGTTTAGATTATAAGATTGAGTGCATTATTTGCTAGATGGTTTAACTTATGAGGCTTTTAGTTCATGATTTTAGTGACGAAGTAATTTCCAGTTTGAGATTGGATTTGGCGATTTGGGTTTTGGGGATAAACTTTTATGGTGTTTCAACTTTTAAGTTAGATGTTATGCATGTATAGCTGTGTTCGAACTTGATTCTGTCTGACTTTTCATTTTCTGAGGGAATAGATTCATTTTAACTGTCAGCTTGATTGTCTTTCCGTGTTTGAAAACAATAGTTTTTCTTTTAATCATTTTTTCCAATGTTATGGAGTGTAGGGATGATTTGGACCAAATCATGTGCTACTGGTGTGTGTTGTGGCATAATTCTTGCTTGCTTGTAATTATTGTATTTCTTAAAATTGCTCTGGTTCTTGGTTGCTGGAAAATAATGCAAATCTAGGCCTTTGTTTTCACAGATATTTTATTTTCACAATAACATTTACCCCATATTATTTAGTTGGTTTAGTATTTTTAGCTTCTCCAGTTACTTCTAGCCAGTATATTACTTTGCACCCAAATTATTTGTACTGAAGAGTCATAAATTAACCCTAGGCCTATTGGGCCTAGGATTAGGTTAATTGGAGATTAAACCACCGCCTAAACCTATTCCGCTAGGGTTTCAGGAAACAGGTAACACCACCTCTATATAAAGAGGTAGTGCCTCTCTCATGATTCATATCTTCTCTACCTTCTACACACGAAACACATACTTCTCTCTCTCTATTCTCTATTCTCTTATTGACTTAAGCATCGGAGAGTCTACCATCGGAAGACACCCGAAGCTCTGTCTTGCAGGTTTTAGGCCGTTCGCCGCCACCTAGATCATCGTCGTGCCCGTCCTGAGCACCGTGCAGCTTCCATGCTTCGTCAAGTGGCACGCCCAGTGGGACCGATTTTTTTGGTCCTTACAGCCAAATAAATTTCTTGAAATGAAGCTGAAATTTATTGGTGCTTCATGAATCATGATGTAAATGATGATGATGTTGTCGGGTTCAGCGTCGACTTCTTCTTCTCGACGTCTAGTTCGACTAGTTCCCTGTCGACGTACACGCCAACCTTCTCCCGCCGACAAAAAGGCTGACGAAGACGTTGTCGACTTTTATATTAACTCCCTTAACCTCAAAGCAAGGGGCAATTTTGAATATTGAAGTTTCGAGAGATACATCTCCTCGAAGGGGCAACCATCCTCGAGCACCGTACTACTACTCAAAGCGTTCGAGAAGATGTATCTCGACTTTTATCTACTCAATAACTACATTCTCGTAATCGAGGTAACACCTTCTCGGGTAGTCAATTTCTCTCGAGATCGAGGTACTTCTCAAACCTTTTCTAATATGCTTCTCGAATCTAAGTTTATCACCTACTGATATCATTAGCATATTACTACTATCATATCACAATATCTTTTTTAAGTATGATCAAAGGAATATTTCAAGGAACCAAACCTCTAGGAAAAATTTCCATCACCCTGCAATGAGGAAAATCACCTCGGGGCTGCCTTCAATGAAGAAAACGTACTCGAGGCACAAATTGGGAAAACCCTAGGGACAAGGAACTTGAGGGATCATCCAAACATCCTCTGCTAGACTGATATTCTTCACGAGCATCTTACACTACTTGTCATTATTATATAATATTGCATCTCGATGATCCAAACACTCGCGGTCCACCGCCAAACAAAAATACTCACGGACCACCGCGCAAACAAAGACACTCGCGGTCCATCGCGCAAACAAGGACACTCGCGGACCACCGTCCAAACAAAGATACTCGCGTACCATCGCGCAAACAAGGACACTCGCGGTCCACCGCACAAATAAGGACACTCGCGGTCCACCGGGCAAACAAGGACACTCGCGGTCCACCGTGCAAACAAGGATACTCGCAGTCCACCGCGCAAATAAGGAACTCTCTAACAATAAGACCTCATCAAGGCATTCTATTCTCCTTATCTTGTATAGGTGATACCCGAGAACAAAAGAGTTCGAGAACTGGGGCAACACCATGAAACTCGAGAAGACATCAACATTCGTAGCAACCCATATTCTTCTCATCAAGTCTCGAGAATTTGGCTTGCTAGGGGCACTTGACGAGTCATAAATTAACACTAGGCCTATTGGGCCTAGGATTAGGTTTTACTTGAAGATTAAGCCCACCGCCTAAACCTATTCCGCTAGAGTTTCAGGAAACAGGTAACACCACCTCTATATAAAGAGGTGGTCCCTCTCTCATAATTCATATCTTCTCTACCTTCTACACACGAAACACATACTTCTCTCTCTCTCTATTCTCTATTCTCTTATTGACTTAAGCGTCGGAGAGTCTACCCTCGGGAGACACCCGAGGCTCTGTCTTGCAGGTTTTAGGCCGTTCGCCGCCACCTAGATCATCGTCGCACCCGTCCTGAGCACCTTGCAGATTCCATGCTTCGTCATGTACATTAGTTAGATTTGTTTTGCTATGATGGAATTGGGTTTTCCACTGCATTTTCCAATCTGGGATTTTCCGTTCTTTTTATTTGAACAAAAATTTGATTTATTAAAGTAAGCTTATGATCTTTTTCTTGGTGCTACTGCTTGCGTTTGAAACCTACTCTTTGTAGGTGAATATAAGCTGTCATAGGGATAAAAAAAGATCTGTACAAGAGGATTGTAGTATGCCCGGATGAGCATAACTGATGTTATTGGCAATGGAAGGACAAGGATTCTTTATCGGCTTCTATGAATAGCAATGGATTCACCCTTCTTCTCTTGGGTTAGAAGAACGAAAAAAAGCTCATGAGAGTGGCTCCATGCAATAAGTACCACTTAGTACACAAAAGAACCAATATATAACTCCACCTGACTTTTGGAAAGAAAACATTATCCTTGCATGCGCCTCTTTTGTGTGCTTTAGCCACGCTGCCACCGAACGTGAGAGCCTTCTCCCTTTAAAGCCGGTGCTTAAAGAGGTCAAAGCTAAAGCGGCTAAAGGGAGACCTTGACACATGGGGCTAAAAAAGAGTGTAGAGAAGTGAACTTGCAACATGTGGTCTTTGATCCAACCTGCCCTTATACAGTTAAATTGAGATAAGGAAATGTGTTGCTATGTTGGATTTATCTAGACTCTTGATATTTCTGAGCTTTGGATTTGAGTTCTTTCAGACATTTCTTGATATTTTTTAATCAAGCCAAATTTCAAATGTCACTTAGTTCTTAAGATTACTCAGTAAATAGTATGACCCCCACTCACCTCGAAGCTACCCTCCCTTCATTTTTACACTCCCAGCCGCCCAACCTCCTCACCATCAACACGTGATTATGCCCTATACCAAAATAGCACAACGATTAGGAAATTACTAACTGAATTTTAATTTATATTCGGATCTAAACAAAAGCTACCAGATGCTACAAAGAGCATAGTAGATTCTATGTAAATGGTGACCAAGTTAACACTTTTTGTGCACACTTTCCTAAAAGAATTTTTACGAAAATGAAGACCAAGTTAAGATTTTTTGTGCCGACTTTCCTGAAAGAATTAAGTGATGTTTATAGATGTATATTTGCATTATGGGTGATCGAGATTCCGCATTGGAGATGAAAAAGTTGCTGGATTCTTAGCTGTTAAAATGGCATGAAAGAATACATTCGTTGGCACTACTAAGTGTAAAGAGAAAAATTCAAAAAAAAAAGTGAATTATACCAAAATTCATATAAAATAACAAAGCAAAAGAATGTTTATGTGCACTGATCGCGCAACGCGCGACACGTAAAAGACTAGTCTTTAATTAACTTATCCATTGACAAAAATATTTTATTTAAAATGTGAGGGTGGGACTATTTTTTTTACCTTAAAGAATATCATTTACCTATTTTTTTTCTTCATTAATATCTTTCTAGACACTTTCGCAAATGTCAAATCTATCTTGCTCATTTTTTTTTCGAATTAAAGTTAGATTTTTTAGCCCCGCTACATCAACCCATCACCATAGTATTTTAACTCAATTCCATATTTGAAGCTAAATTATAGAAGTTTCAGGCTGGCCTAACTTCTTTAATTATTTTAATAAATTATTAATATAAAATTCATTTTCAGTTGCGTTTTTTTTTTAGGAGGAAGAGATCCGTCTATCGGATTTGCAGGGATTTGGAGAAATCAATATAGGGTTTGGATTTTTTTCAGTTGCGTTTTTTTTTTTTTTGGTTTTTATTGTTTTGTTTGTGCATTTTTATTTCTAGAAAATTATGAAAATGCCACATAGGATAAAATCCTATGTGGCATGTGCTCCTTAACTTTAGATTTCTCTCTCTGGTTTTTGCATTAGTATACTATATATAGTATATATAGATTAATTTGAAAAAAATCGTTTCCAATCACAAATAAAAAAAAAATATTAACCAGGATAGGTTTCGACTAGGGTTTTTATTTGCTTATTATCAGAAGCTATAGTCCTATGTTGTTACTTTGGCAGGGTAAGTTAATTAATCATCGTCGGAGTACCCGAAATTGAAACTCTGGCCGGACCAGTTTCGCTCTTTAATTCGTCACCTTATTATGAAATTGAGAAAAAGAAGAAGTAGGGCGGATTCGGGGCAAGTACTTCTGGCTGATCCACTTCCGGATGATATAATCTTCAAGGTTCTCTCATTGCTTCCAGCAAAGTCCTTAATGCGATTTAAAACTGTTTGCAAATCATGGGGTGCCCTGATTTCCGATCCCTCTCTCGCTGAAACCCATCGCATCAATTCTGAGTCCACAACTGATCGTCCTGAATCCTCCCATCTACTGATTCATCTCGCCATGAAGCACGGTTCACATGTAGAAGTTCAGGCCATCCTTCCGGCAACCCTAAACGGAAAAGCGTCTACTAAACTTCCTACACACAACTTCCATGCATTATCCGGCAACGGAGGAGAAGAGGTATGTTGTTCAAACATCGTCAACGGTCTAGTTTGTTTATGGGTCTCAAACCGCAACCAATTTGAATTGCTCAATCTCACCACACGAGAACGGATGACCCTCCCGAGAGGAGAAATCCCTCGAAAGTTTTGGTATCCATCCTGTTTCTTAGGGTTTTATCCAGTTCTTAAGCAGTATAAAATACTTTATGTTGGTCTTGAGAGAAAGCTTTTCATAATCACATTAAGCATCGACAACAGTAGTAATACTAGGTCTAGTACTATGTCGTCGTGGTGGAGGGAAGTTGCAAGTTTACCGCTGTTTGATGATATGGTTAATACATGTGTTTGTGTTGAGGGTGCGATATTTTGGATGAAAAAAGTATCATCCCAAACTGGCCGTAAGATAGTTGTGCAATATTTTGACCTTGGAGACGAAAAGTTCAAGTTACTTCCAATTCCTGATGAAGTAGAAACAAACTTCAACACTGTAGAAGCAACACAGATTGGAGGCAAATTCACGATGGCTGTTATCAATTATAGACTTTTTGAAAGCTTTAAAATAACAATGTGGAAATTGATCAACAAGTATGATGATGATGATGCTGATCAGCTGCTCTGGGATAAGTCGTTTTTAAGCATTGGTGAGTTGCCGAGACAGTTGACGGCTCGACGAAAGTTTAGCATTATTGGAGCTCGACAAAAGTTTAGCATTATTGGAGGCAATAATGATAAGCTCCTCATTATAACATCAAAACACTTGCAAACGGGGCCTTCGGACTCGTCTTGGGACACTTTGATCTTTTGGGATATGGGAAAGAAGGAGTACAAAACTGTGGAATTGGTGTCTAAGAATGGTTACTCTTCTCCTAATAAAGCACTTGGTAAGTATCGGCTTTCAGGGTTTACTGTTGCTGCTGTTACGTATCATGTGGATAACATTCTTCCTTTGAAACACATCCTCAATCTTCCAACTGAGCAACCTAAACAACCGAGCTAGCTAGCTACTTAGTTAATTAAGGTTATAAGGTAATCTCTGTTTCACAATGATTGTCCGGTACTTGAATTTTCATTTTTAGTATGAATTGTACTAAAAATAAAATTATAACCGAACAATTGTTTTGGAACGAAAAACATATATTGCTTATAGTTAAATGATTAAGTTTTTTTTTTTAAGTTCGATTTTTACTTGTTTATTTTCTTAACATAGTTTTTGGTTCTGATTAGAATTGGGAAGGGCTATTGGAAACTTGTTCCCCAGCTTTCTTAATTTACTCTCAGAAGTGCTTCAGAATTTGGGGCAGTAAGTAGACTTGCTGTCATGTTAATGGGTAGATTGGCCGAACCTTAATGGAATTTATAGCCCTGATTTCTTTGTTCTAAAATAAGAATCTTGTCTTGTTTATAGCACTAATATTAATTCATACTTTTATTCTGGAACATGAAGAGTTCCTCCGTTGTTTGTCACGTTAATTAATTGAGCACTTTAAAGTTTAAAGTTGCAGTGTAATGTTCAAATTTTGATGCTTGAGCCATTGTTTTATTCAACTTTTTGTCTAACGATAGAAGTTGTTCGAAGAAACTACAATAATTGTTGTGGGCTTGTAGCATACCTTTGCCACAATTAAGGTCGATCCATTATCAACAGTTAGGTTTTATGGTTATGAGAGCGGATTATCCCACTTGCTTATGTGTTTCACGAATAGCCGGATTTATCAAACGGTTTTTTTTAAGATTTTAGTGAAGGAATTTTTTTTAAAAAAAAAATTTAACAGCGAATAAATCATAATTGTCCATACTTATATCTTTTTTTTTAGGGCTACAACGTAGTTCAGATTCAGCTAGCTCATTCCCTATAAATTTATTTATCAATTTTTGTCCACTTATATCGTCATTTTTTTTATAATTATTAGATAAGTGTAGTATTATTGTGAGACAAGTTGAATATAAAACATAACACTAAAATTTCTCCTTCTTTCTTTCTTCTTTTCTCATTGGTTTGCACTTTGTACAAAATGATGTGCTATGATGAATCAACAATACTGGGGGGACATGCCAGAACTTGCTTTTTAAGATTTTCAATGATCATCACCAATTTTGTGTTGAGTCGATTGACGAAGCACTTTGGCAACCATCCTGCTGGGTCCAACTGTAATGCAAAATTCAAACACCAAAAAAAAAAAACACAAACAATTATTGTAATGCAATAATGTTCGATTTGAATACTTAATTTGGCGGTAGATTTATCAATTATTGGCATTTCGTTATTTTTTTTGAAAAAAAAAAATCCATTGTATTATTTATATTATTATTTTTACTAAAAACAAGGGTAAAATTGTAATGTGCTCTACAATTTTATTTATTTATTTTTTGGTTGTTGGTGAAGACTAATTCTGTGAAGCATAGTGGACCAGATAGGGGTTTAAGCTTTGATTAATCTACCAAATTAATTTTCTTTCCCTTTCCCCCCTTTTTCAACTAGATTGGTTGAATCCACAACTAAAACTTGACCAAATCGTCTCTACATTAATATTCCTTTATGTTGTTAGTCTGAAAGAAGATATAAAAAAAAAAAAAAATAGGAATCAAATGAAATTGTTTAAGAAATTTATTTACCTGAACTACGTAAGTAACCATGCAAGAATCATTATCAAGTTTCTCCACAACCCATCCGGACTGCAACAACAGAGCTCTGATGGAGTTATTTTGCTTAGGATGCAATCCTGATGCTATTTCTTTCGGAAGGGAAGCCACTGCTACAACCTATTCACATACACACACAGTAAGAGAAGAGTCTCTTGGTCACTAACATTCGATCGGTTTGAACTTTATAACTCCTTAAACGATCAAGATCCGATGATACTAATCATAAGCTGTTTCAGGGCTAATCTTGTAACAAATTTGAACCAAAAAAAAAAAAAGGAACTTTGTTTGAATATTGATACTTACAAGGGTGCCATCGTCCATAGTTTCACGTCTCTCATATACAATAAATTCTCTGTTTCTGAAGAGTGGCTTTGCACAATCTCCAAACTTGAGCCGAATGATGCTGAAATTCTCTTCCAACTCTTTTATGTATCTTGCTTCTACCAAATCAGAATCCCATTGCTGTATAACCATTATTTATATACAAAGTTAAAATCTTCATGTGTTGTGAAACACCACCAGAGGAACTGACCAAAAAAAGAATCGAGAAATGAAGTGTCTTCAAAAAGAAAAAATTTGAATCTTTTTCATCACCTTTGCAGCATCAATGGCATTAGCCACGGTGATGAACTGCTGGGGAGAGACAGATTTAAGCAGCCAACGACTGCGAAACGTGTGCAAGGATCCCGACCGGCGTTTAGAAATCTCCACACCATTGTCCATTCCTAATACTTTCCAGCCATTTTCAAGACCATTTCCAGCTTTGCTAGAGTCTGATGCTGATAATAACTCCTGAATGCAATTCTCACTCGCATAAAACACGTATCTTCTCAGCGAATCCTCGCTGATTGACCTGTATACATATCCAAATTGATCATTGCATTCAAAAGAACAAACATTTATCCTCAAGAATCAAAAAGGTATATAAATGCATGATCACTAAAGTAACATGAACAGGGGAGAAATGAATAATTGATCAATTACCAGGATCTGCTGCAAGAAACAGGACTATTGCTCATTTTTTTTCTCGTGTTTCTTGTACTGCAGGGAGCTAGAATGAGGGGTTGATATAAATGAGAAAAGAGATTGCGGGTTGAAGGGGTTATAAGGTACAGAAAAACAGGACAAGTACTATAAAAAACCGTCCTAGATTAATGTCTTTTGGCAAGGAAGATGGAGACGTGGTTGCAGAAGCTAAAATAATGAGAAGTGGGGCGATGAAATTGATGCACATGGAATGACAGAAGAACCTCCATGATTAAAACTCCATGTCTTTATCCCTCCATTTTTTCTTTCTTTCTTTCTTTTCTCTCTCTCATGGGCAAGTGAACAAACACTCCATGTGCATCAATCTTCTCCCAACTTTCTCTTTCAAAAACGGAAAAAAAAAAAAAGAAAAGAAAAAGAATATTTTTTTTTAAACAACGTAGTTTAAAGGGAAAGGGAAGGTAAAGGAAAAGGACTAACAACTAAACTCCACTCTCCTAGACTAATATATTTGCTTAGAACCCTCATTTATAATCTAGCTAATCTGCCTGTTCATGGGTGACAATGAAAGCACAGACCCTTGATTTTGGTCCCCAATCACGTGCTTTCAAAAGGGTCAAAGTAACTAACTTACAGTTTTTTTTTATTGGTCAGTTTGCTTTTGCTTATTCAGTTACAGGACAGCCCAGATCTTTGTTCTTGGGTATGGAAAATTTCACTGTTCAAATGGATGAGTTATTTTATTCTGCAGTTTCGTGAATCGAGTTTTTGGACCTATGCTGCTGATTCTCATCCGGGTTGTCTTTGTTATGGAATCCAAAGACACAGTCCTTGTGATTCAGTAACAATCAAATTCACTTTTTTAAAAAGAGTATTACTGCCAACACATTTCTCTATATAAGTTCGGGATCTTGGATGGATGATAGATAATCAAGTTGATTTTGATACTAATTACTTATGTGATCTGATCAAAGATATCAATTATCAAGAGTACACTGATTTTAATAGCAGAAAAGAACAGAAACTAGGAACTGATTGGCTATATTACAATAGCAAAAAGTAAGTTAGAATGATGCTGTTTACTGGAACCTTTTTAGCTGATGGAGTTGGAATAATTAATCTTGCTGTCCCAGGAAGCCTTTTTCTTTAAGGCTACCCACCGTGTCACGGACAGCATCTTCCACGGGCGTAAAAACTACTCCCAAGTTGATTAATCTCTTTGCAGCATCTTCACAAGCTACCAAACCTGGTTGAGTTTCACCTTCAAACCTGCATTTAATAAAATGGCGGTCTTGATAAGTAAACCAAAAAGGAATAAATGTAAATCGAGAAGGTCTTCTACGGTAGGGGTTTCCTGCATCATCAGTAACATGATGCATCTGTTGATCCACTTTCAAGTGGGTTGACAAAATTCAATATACATGAAAGTGCTAAACAAACGTATGGTAGACCGGCAATGCCACTTCTAGATGATATAATGATCACTTGGCTGAATTTGAATGTGTAAATAGGAAGCCAGGGCCAAGGTAATGATACAAAAGTATGTGCATTCGGTAAAATCGAATTGCTTGCAACTTTTGTCAATCAGGTAAAGTTAACCTCTGGGCCAGGTTAAAACTAAAGCTGGCTTTTGTGCTATTAAGGATAAGTTAAACAAGATTAGATAGAACCTAAAGTTGAAACTGGGGCCATCATGTCATGATTTTACATGAGGTATAATCATGATACCTGGTGGCCAGTGAAGCTTCCACCCTGGTGGACTAAAACCACTACAATGTACCATCATGAGAACATGGTTGACAATTTGACATAAGGAAGATCAACTAACCAAAATGTAGAAAAATCTAACTCATCATAATTTAGCTGTGAGAATTTCCGCATTCTATGATCCATATTCACTTGTTTCATTAGCTCTGGGTTCTATTGATATTGCCATTTTTGAAAATTTTAATATATCTTGGTAGCAGGAATGTCCCCGAGCAACAATGTCCCCTATGTCGAACTAACAGCTAACAAACATTCCGAAGGAAGAAACTTGATTGTTAATGGTTACTGCATAACTCTAGTTTGCAAAAACAGAATCACAAGAAAAAGCACTTATCACTGAAGAAGAAGAAAGGTTGATGATCCATTCTTAATGCCATACTAAAAATGCCACATGAGAAGAATGGACTGACCTGTGAATAGGAAATTCAGGAAAGAGTTTTGAGACTCTCTGTGCAAAATCCCCAAACTGGTAGCTTCCATTAGTACAAAGATATCTTCCAGAAGCATCAGGAGTCTCAAAGAGTCGAACTTGTGCCTCGGCCACGTCTTTGACATGCACAGCTCCCAACCAATAATTCTCTTGTGTATTTTTTGATCCCTGCAGCAGCTGTTGCAGAACAGCACAGCTTGCATTTAAGTTAGGTTGCAAAAGTTGGCCAAGACATGTCACTGGGTTAATTGCAACTATATCCAATTTGTTCTTCTCTGCAAATTCCCATGCAGCTTTTTCAGCCAGTGTTTTCGATACTGCATACCATGCCTGTTGAAAAATATACTAAGAAAAATAAGTATGAGAACATTTTATTAAGTCCCTGCACAATGATCATTGAACTACATTCGAGAGTTATAGTGTAACCTTACCAACGTACATGAGATATGGCACCTCGTACAAATTTATGAGTATGCTTCAAAAGTCATAATGTCATGAAAGTACCTTGATGGCATTCACCCTTAACCACAGACTGAATTCAGGAATCTTGATGGAACATTTTACTATAACCGATGATAACTAATCATATGAATACATTCCAACATTCTCTAAAGTATGCACTCTAGTAAAAATGAAAGGTCCTCTTCTACAAAATGGAAACACATGATTTATGATGATCTTCAATGATTAACTAGAAACTCCTACTAATGACTGTATAATCTTGGTTTAGGATGATTTTACACTTCATATATGATAAATAGAGCATTGAATCATTGTTCCAACTCTATTCTCAATGATGATTAAAAGTGTACAACACTTTAGTTCATGTGAGTCCCAAATTAATGTTCTTCTGATAAAATGTGAGAATATGGAATTTTGACTTTTTGGTCCTTACTCTATGATAAGTATGTGGATGTAGCATCACGACATGAAACAGTTAAAGCTTTACTTACTCATTCTCAGTACACATTTCAAAAAAAAAAAAAAAAAAACTCAATCTCAGAAACACTAGCACATGAACTTTCATCCCTATTGATAATGCTAACAATTGGATTTTGTCTTCCACTCTATACAACTATCCAATATTCCACAAAACCTCACATGTGAATCAAAAACAAAAGGTAAATATTCCCAACTAAGCAGTCCCGTTCATATACCATATTCTCTCAGCATTGAAACTCACACAAATTTACTGGAGAGAGTATTCTGAAGTTAATGCTAACAATTGGATTTTGTCTTCCACTCCATGTATACAATCTTCCACCAAGCCTTACATGTGAAACAAAGAGAAAAGGTAAATAAATATTCCCAATTAAGCAGTCCAGACCGTCCACCATATTCCCTTAGTATTGAAACTCACATCTTCATGTCCACTTGAGATAGCCAATTAGAAAAATTGTTCTACACGAGTTTGTTCTGAAGTTATTATCAATGAGGCCGTGTATTTCAATGGACTCAACAAAGAAACAGTTCGCTACGTGCAATGCAAAAATTAGCTTTCTTCCTAAAGATTTGTTCACATTCAAAACATATACGTCTTCAAAAATCAATCAGACCCAAACGCCGAAAAATGACATTAAATCCAGAAATCAAAAAGTCTAATTTCAATCAATTATCTTCTAAAACCACCAATATTAAAACATTCTCACTAATATCTTCTTTCATAAAAAGTTAATTAAAGATCATCGTCTCTTTAAAGTAGTACAATATAATCAAGAATAACAGACCTTGCGAGAGATGCAGTAATCAAGATCAGTCCATGACGTTTCATCAAACACCTTGTCTATAGGCCAACTCGGGTTCGGCAACATCGCCGAGACGGATGATGTCAGCACGACCCTCCTGACGTTGAACTTCTTGGCGGCGGCGAGTACATTCAGAGTGCCCTGAACCGCCGGTTCCACCAGCTCCTTCTGCGGGTCAACCGGGTCCTCCAGCGTGCAAGGGGACGCCACGTGGAAGACTCCGCCGCCGGCACATCCCTCGATTGCTTTGGACACAGCATCAGCGTCCAATAGGTTGGCCTCGTGCACCACCACCGCCGCCAGTCCGGCGCGGGGAAGAGATAAGATGTGAGATGGGTCGGAGCCCGGGAAAATGGAAGCGTGGATCGTCGTGTAGCCGCGTTCTAAGAGGGTTTTGACAATCCATGACCCGATGAATCCATTTGCTCCGGTAACGCACACGGGTTCTTTGGTGTTAGTCAATTGTGGTTGAATTTCGGTCATTTCTGATCAGTTTATGCTGCTGCTGCTTAAGCTTTTCGGCCTTTATGATTCTGATAAGTAATAAGAAAGCTAATTGAACATATCTAATTGGTGATTTGCAGTTTGTTGATTTGGAATTTGGATAATGGATTTTGTCCAGTTTAGAGGATTAGTGATAAGTGTCCGATGATTATAGCTTAAGAAAAGTTTCAGTTAATTTTAACGTTATCAGCTTATCTTTCTAGTTTTCTATCTTATCCGAGAAAATCAGAAAAGCAGTTAGAGATTTTGAAAAAACGGTTAAGAGACGGGATACTTGCTGAGTGGACCTTGACTATGTGCTACTGTGCGGACGTACATTATATTCACCTTCTTCATTCATCAGTTAATAAAATGGTTCAAAAAATAATAATCAGAATAAAACTCACACGGTAAAATTTATGATTGAATGCCAGATTGAACATTACGCATCCATGAGACTTCTAACGATAATATACGAATCTTCCTCGAATAATTGAGAGAACTTTATATCTTGAATCGCACTGAATCAAGTGAAAAAGAAATAAGAAAGGAGGAAGCAAAATGGAATAAGTTAGTATATAAGGCAAGACATGAAGTTGCAAAATCATAGACGCCAACTCCTAATGAGAAATTGCAGTAAACAACATGCATGCAAGATAAAAGAGAAATACTCTGTTACATCTTGTATAACATCGATTATTCATTGACAAAACCACTTTTCAATTCATTTTATGCAGTTACATTTATATACAATCACTAAAGTTTTATTTGGACAACCTTCCATTTTACATTTTCACTCATTTTATCACTTAAATAAAAAATTCAATGGAAAAGAAAACATCATCCAAACAATTTTCTGACTTATATTTTAAATTCCAACTTGAAACATTTTTTGTTAGTGTAATGACCATGTTAGAACTACAAATAGTTCAGTGACAAATTTGGCAGGATTCTGTTGTTGAGTGATTGTTTTTTGAAAAGTTCTTTTTTGCAGTGACTATAATTGACAATATTTAATTGTTTAGTAATGACTCGTACTTGATATTTTAAAATGTAGTTCAAAATACTTTTTTTCAAAACCAACATGCAAACAACATTTTTATTTCCCATTTCGTTTTTAATTTGGAACACTTTCCACTTTTAAGTGGCAAAATGAAATGTAAATTAACGTCCAAATAAGCACTTAATTTCAGTATACTTATTAGTTTTGCTTTGGAACTAGATGAGAAAAGAAAACCTTCCCAATGGACGCTCAGCGATGAAGATGATGATTTGCTGCTGCTAGCTTCCAGACTTGCAATCTACCTCTTTCAACATGCTCTAATTTGAATTTTTATTTTTAGTTTGAATTATATTAAAAGTAAATTCAAACAATAAAACTATTTTGAAACCAAGAGAATGTATCATATTATATTAGTACTTATATGATTCAAATTTCTTAATAATTTGACCAGAAGCTCTTTGTGTAAAAGAGTTGAACAGTTGATGAGCACTATACAATTCTTGGATTTATAAGTCAAAATAATATTTTAAACGAGAAGTGGAATTTGTCACCTCGTTAAGCCAGGCTGATCGCCGTTAAATCTTTTCAGCTACTCAATCTAATAGTACTAGTATTTACCCCCAAATCCAATTCCCCATTATAGCTTATACTAAATTTAGTAATAATTTAAAAAGGAAAGAATGAGGAAGAGGACTAAAGGACTTACCTCTTTGGCGCTGTAAATTGAAACGGGTGGCTAACTGCTAGCCACGACTGCAAGAGCTATTCGGGCAAGGCAGCGCAGAACAAAGTGTTCCAAAGCTCAAAATCTCCATGTTATACTTCCATCTTGCAGAGATAATCGAGGAATTAGATCAAATTCTTAAGGGGTTTTCTGATTCAGAGCATTTCGTTTGCACAATTTTCCGCGCATGATTATTCCCAAAAAAAAATTGTGCTGAAGTAAAGGATGATTGAGCAGAAATGGGGTGCTTGAGGCTCGTGAAATAGTACTTTTTGGACCCATGAAAGTTGCACCATCTTTTGTATTAAGAACTTCACATTCTTCATCAACATATAATGGATGTGTTGGTGGTGGTGGCTCTGGTGGATTATGCCATTGCAGTTATTCTTCCATTATTATGGCCAAAAAGGGTAAAAACCCTCAGCCCTCTTCTTCTCCCAAGGTAAATTTTTACGTCTTCTTAAGTTCATCAGCCATTCATACATTATGACTGCAAGTTTCGTGCCTAATTTTGCCAAAAAGATTGCATTTTGATGAGCTTGAGTATACGGTTTTGGTTCAGCGGTTGATTAAATTTATGAAACCGAAAGTTTACACTGGTATATGATATATGAATGGAAATATGTGTAGATAAAGAAGAAAAGGGGTGGTGTTTTGGGTACTTATGAAAATTCAACGACATGGCTCCATTTATTTAACTGCCCTGCATTGGTTCCCATCTTCTTCATTATTCCTGTTGACAAAGATACATTTTTTTCCCCTTTGGTTGGTGGTGATGTGAGAATGGATCAAGTTTAGTGGCTTTTTTAGTCTTCTCTGCAGTCAGTCAGAATATATTTTGTAGGAAGGATTTTTGTTGTCAAGTTTCTTGACTGAATCTGTGTCTCTTACATGCTTGCTCATGACAGGGAGCAGACCTCCCACCTCCTAGAATTACAACAAACTTGAAGCAGAATTTACAGTTTTTGAGATTGTGGAAGGTTAGTTTTCTTGTGTGATTCGGTATTCTAGACTCTTTATGGTTACACCCGCGTTAATCATCTTGATAAAATTGTACTACAGGAATTCCAAAAGAGAAAATCAGGCACACCAAAGCCTGCCACTAGTTATCGCAGAAAGAAGGTAGAAAAAGAGGAGATTCCGGAAGAAGAAGCACTCTATCGTGATCCAACTTTGACCCTTTACTAGTAATTCCTTTTTCAGGTCTTGTCTGGTATCGATTTTGTTTTGTCAGTGTCTGTCCTTTTTAGTGATTATTGATTGGAGCTTGTTGATGTTGCTTAACAGTACCAACCAAGGCTTTGATACAGCAGTTCCTGTTTTGCTTGTGGATGGCTATAATGTTTGTGGGTATTGGCCGAAGTTGAAGAAGCATTTCATGAATGGAAGACTTGATCTTGCTCGACAAAAACTTGTTGATGAACTCATTACATTCAGCACATTGAGAGGTCTGGGTTCTGCTTTCATCTAGTAATCTTGGGGCTCTCATTCTGCCATTATCTATGGCTTTTCACTCAACAGTAGTTTATCTGTTCTCTTTGAGAAGCATATCCAAAAGGGTTATGGTAAAGTTTATGTTTGTATAATCATATGATCCTCTCATCACCTGAGTTTCATACTTTCAAATATAAAGTCTTCTTGCAAAATGAAGAAATCTTAATACCTTATGTAAGTGCTTGTGCTTCAGTGGCATTGTCGAGCTGTCTTTCTACTTTACTAGGTTCCTGATGTCATTTCTTTCTTTTCTTCTTCTCTTTTTTTTGTTTTTCTTTTTTTCCCTCAATCATTATTTTTCAGTTGTATTAAACTCCTTTTGGATGCATCTGCAGAGGTAAAAGTGGTCGTTGTATTTGACGCCATGATGTCAGGTCTGCCAACACATAAAGAAAGTTTTGCTGGGTAACCCTTCCATTGCCATCTCTTGACGGTGATTGTGAGATCAGATTCTGGTTCTGAGTTTATTGTGCTGTTTTTAAATAATGTTTTGTGATTCTGTTCTTGGTTCTTTGATAATGCGATTAAGGGTAATATATGTCATATGTGACTTCAACTGTCATCCTCTGACATCAATATCTTTTAAGTCCTTATTTTGTTACCATTTGTCCATTTCTGCTGTGAAATATAATTCAAGTATGGTAATAGCCTGTATGTTTTTCTTAAATATACAGAAGTGTATTATTCTTAATGCTTGTACCTTCTCTGTATATGACTTTAAGCTTTGAAGTTGAATTAGCTATTTTACCATCATAACATCACTTTGATCATCCAAGTCTTGGTCATCATTGTATTTTCTGCTTTTGTGAAAGATGTGAAATGGTGCTGAAAGGAACTTCCATTTGATTTCTGAAGATACATCTGTTTTGAAATCCTTATTTAGCCTAGTTTGTGTATGTAAGATCATTAGTTCTTTGCTTGATGTATACGGTAGAAACTTTTGCCTTAATCCTAACAATTTGTAATATTGCAGAATAGATATCGTGTACTCCGGTGAAACCTGCGCTGACACTTGGATTGAAAAAGAGGTACATTTAATCTAACCATTTAAGCCAAGGTTATATTAGTCTCAGCGGGGAACATCTATTCTCTGAAGACTGCTTAGGATCGTATTTTGTTTCCTTCGTAGAAAAACCATGCTTCACTTTTATACCATATCCATGGAGTCGCTTAATATGTTTCTCACTGAATAGGTCGTGGCTCTGAGAGAAGATGGTTGCCCGAAAGTTTGGGTTGTCACCTCAGATCGTTGTCATCAGGATGCTGCACATGGTGCGGTATGTATTTCCCTGGACCTCGTTGTTCTGGCCTTCAAAACTATGTGGTTTGATGATGCTTTGAAGGCTGCTTCTTGAGCTAAAAGCATCCTTGTCTAGTGCAGATTCTTTTGTAGATTTCCCGTTGGTAGATTAGCTATTTCCTTTTAAGGGTTAACAGAGGTTATGAAAGTTAAGATAGTCAGGGAGGACTGAGGAGTGTACCCTTTCTTCTGATACACCCAATTTTTTCCGTCTCAAATAATTATGTTCGCAAAGTTCTGATTCTAGTGACAATTATCAACTTTCTTCCTAGCTGCCACTTTAAAGTTGGAACTCACTATGATGCATTTAGATTTTCGTCATTCTTCTGTGTTTTCTGAAGCTATAAAAAGGCTCTTTAGGTTCTTTGACATCGCGGATTAAGACCAAATCAAATGTCATTTTCAGGGAGCTTTTGTTTGGAGCTGCAAGGCTTTGGTCTCTGAGGTAACAGAAACACCTATTATTTGGTTATTGTGGTCCTTGTTCATAATGCTCTGCCTTCTTGTAATATTTAGAATATTGATTGATCTTTCATGGTTCCCTCAAGCACCTTGTTTAACTTTTGAGTGAAGTTTGTCATGCCTACCTTTTTATTAAGTTTTTAAGCAATGTGCATTAACTGAACATCCTCTCTTCTTTTGGATTGCAATGCTGCATAGTTGGTTTTAGTAAACTCTCTATTTAAACAATGATCAATGTTGTTCGCATGGATTTTAGGAGTTGAAATATGAAAAGGTTGGGTTTAACGGCAATGTTCCTGCCCCATCTTATATTTTTTAAAAATCTATAACTGATGCAGATAAAAACTTCACAGAAGGAAATGGAGATGATGCTCCAGGAACAAAGGTAAAGGCTTCCACCCTCAGAAATTACAATATATATATATATATATATATATATAAGTAGTCCATAGATATATATAAGTAGTCCATACTTAAATCAAAAAAAGAAAATCTACAATTTTAACAAAGCTAAGTACAAGCACAGTTTCACGGAACATCAGGACCTTTATGGAATAGCTATACTAAATAATGAATCTGAGGGAAGTTTCTGTATATCAGGCAACATCTTGCATCGTATCCCTATTGTGAAAACTCAAAACTGGGGCAGAAAGCTTTATTTCAGAAAAGGGGGGCTGATGAGCTTATTCTGATGTGATATAGAAGCATAAACCTGAAGGATGAGTCCATCTTTTACTATTAACCTGAATATCTGATTACACTGTATTCAATTCCAATATGTGAGGGATAGAGGCTAAATTGCTTTACGTGATCCTGGGGTAGCTAATATCTCTTTAATTTGATTGGGGGCTCCCAACATTGACGAGATAAAACTGCCATCTTTTAGAATGTCATCTAGTGTTCCACTGTAGTACCAAAACCACAACAGATCTACATGTTGGTTGGGCAACCTCAGCCAAAGTTTCACCGTAACCAAAATTTTCTGACTTCCTGCTTCTCTTCACTTATTTATTTGCCTTTTGCTGTTCGTGAGATCAAGATGGCATTCATGCTACTTGTTACTTTCTCATTGTAGTTTTTGACCTTTTGAATGGTGTGCAGATCCTCGTCAATGCAAGGGAAGCTGTTGAAGCATAATCTTGATTCGGAGGTAGTGGATGCACTCAAGGATCTCAGAAACAAGCTGTCTGAGAACGGGACAGGCATGTGACTAACGGAGCAAGGAAACGATATTCTTCAGTGCTCCCTGAAAAATCTAACTCACCCCCACATTCTTTCTGTTGTACATTAGTATCATATATTTGTTTGATTTGGATTCAATGCAGTGTAACAGAAAGCTAATTTAACAGTTTATTTGAATTCCTTTCAAATGTTGCTTGTTTAAAGCCTTCATGCGTTACTGGCATACCTTTGATATATTTATTATTGGGCTTAGTAGCTCCATTTGCACTGGGCTTTTTAAACTTTCGGTTTAATCACCCTAGTAGCCCAAAGAAATGCACTCTAGTATGAGTCGTGTGGTTTGTTAAACTAAATCAATACAATAACAAACTAAATCAGTATAGTTAACATAACTCGATGTTGTTGGTGGGAGTAAATACATTGTATTGAACAAGTACAAGTCTTTCACTACCTGTCAATGATCGAATTTGTGATACTATACGACTTTAATTCCATACCTTAATTGGGTCCGTTACTAACAATTTGTGACACTGTACGACTTCAATCCCGAAAACAAAGAAAATGACACGAATACAAAAGAATTGGATCCGTTTTGTAGACAAAAACTGCAGGAGGGTTTCAGAGATTATATATACATAAGAACCTGAATCAAAACCGTTAAGTTTGTTGGTAAGAAATTAAATAGGCAAATTTCAGACAAGAATGTCAGACTGGACTATTGGGGGTACTGCAGGGAGGAATCAGTGTCAACGTCTCCGAAAAACGTACGTATAATTTGGGTTGGGTTGGGATTGGGTTGGATTGGATTGATGAAGGGTTATTAAAAGGATTCACGAGGGCCGTTCCCACAGTTTGCCCTGCTCTCTGCCCTGCTTCAGTCAAATTGTCAGTTTCTGTCACATTTCTTTTTTTGGTACACATACAATTATGCTCTCTGCATTTTTCTTTAATTGTGCCAAATAGTACAGTTCTAAACTATACTCCTACGTGTGTTTCTGTGAGATGCCAAAACTCTAGGGCTCGTATTGCTTCGTTAGCCTTTCTCAATGTATCTCCCTACTTACATTTTATCGTTCTTAATAGTACAGTTTGTAAGACTCTAAAAAATAAATTCAAAATGTAAACAAAGAATTAAAAGGTGGTTCATAATATACAAGGTCTTTTTCAATTTATTAAATTTTCTTGTCTAGTTTTTTCTTTATTATTGTGCTTCTTTTACAGCTCTCCTATTTCAGTTATTTTCAAATTCAAAGGCCTAGATGATCGCATCAATACGATTCAATGTTAAATCCAAATTCATCAATAAGATTCAATGTTGAATCCAAATTCAAGATTAAGGGAGGTAAATGGAAGAATAAGGGTGTGTTCGGCAATATGTTCTTGGGATTCAATTGGCATTACAATATTTTGGGATTCAATTGACATTCAAGATATTTAATTCAATGCCAATTTATCCGTTCGGCAAAATCATGGAATTGGTCACAAATTCAATTAAGATTCCAAATTCTCTGTTTGTATAGTCTAGTAATTGGGTTGGTTTTGGCTTTTGCTTATTTTTTACAAAAATAAAGAAAAAAGAAAAAATTGATTTATTTTGAAATTATTTCAACTTTTAATTTTTGTTATGTTAAATAGTATCATTTCTAGAATAATATATTTTGTTACCATCTTTAAGGTGGCAAAGAGGAAATTCTTTAAATTTTTATTTTTAAAATTTATCAATTATTTATATATTCATTATAATGATCAATTTAGGTAGTTCCAACACTTTTCCATTAACATAAATATAAAATTTACAAAAATTGGTTACGTATATAGTAATTAATTTAGTTCAAGTGATTGTTTTGAAACCAAAAAAACTAAACTGATTATAAAATGAAGGGGCGGTATTCACCCAATTTTATATATCATGTAACAACTACCTAAACATTTTATATATTCTTATCAAACATAGAATCTAGTGACAATATTACTCCAACTAATGTTACTACCACTAAAACTAAAATACCACACAACGTTAAAGTCTTATCAAACAATAAACTTAAAACTAATAGTTTTATTGAACATAAATTAACAAAACCATTTCATCTACGCCTGTTTTGATAATCAATAAACATAGCTTGAGGTAATGCATCCCTAAATCTAGTCCACTCATGTGTAGATTGCACAAGTGTAATGCGATCAGAGTCTTCAACATTCGCACCACCTTGCATGTTTGGTTGATTCTGTTCTTCCTCATTCTGATCATCACTATTTGGATTATCTCGGTTAAGAATCTCATGATCAACTTCTTCCAGTAATGGATCATTAGGTTCTTCTACTTGAATAAGATTGTGAAGGATAACACAAACATTGATAATCTTCACAATTGTTTTGACATCATAAAAAGACGCTTCTCTCAAAATTTTCCATCGCTTTTTCAACACACTAAGTGGCATAGTCATACTATATGTTAGGATAATGGTATAAATACATGAGGCACTGTAAAACAAAAACAATAAATTAACTTCTTTTAACAACGCTTATAGAAAAAAAGTGAGGACCAAAATGCTGCAAATGATATGGAGAAGAATATTTCAAGTGGGATAGCTACCAAGATATTTAACTCGAATATGATTTGCAAGCCAGATTATATTTAACACACCAGCTGAGGAAAAGGCTTCTTGATGGAAGATACCTTACAGGATAAATATGTTTAGCTACGAGAAAATGTAACAATTAACCCTTCAATTATTCTATCATTGTTCAATTACCCACCAGAAAGTAAGGCACTGATATCAATTCAACTATGAACAATTTGAAAACTTAAACTCTGCCCAATAGTTATCTTCCACAAGATTTTCCTAACATAAAATGCTCATATAGCAGTATAACTGCAGTAATATTTTAGTGAACTGAAAAGTTCAAGTCAAGAAAGGGATTGCAACAACTCATTAAGTTAATGGTGAGAATAATAAAAAATTTTGGAACATCAGTCAAGAATTATTATTTCCTTTATCACCTGCATGAGTATTTCTAACCTACAGAACTGAGTTTTTATTACAAATAACAAAGATATCAAGTTAAGTGGAGATGGACTATACATAAGAGGACCTGAAGCAAATACCTCCATGTATAAAATCACTGATGAAATTAAGCACCACACAATTTTAAAATCACTGATGAAATAGTCACCTAAGTTGCAACATGTTGCTTCAGTGCATCATAATTTTCCAGCACAAGGCCAACAAATATCAATAGAGAGAAAAAAAGAAAAGGCAAGAAGTGAAGAAAATACCTTGGAAGTACCAGATGGTGGCACAACCAGAATATTCCAATCAATTTCATCAGCATACTTTTTCCGCTCACTGTAAACAGCCCTTGCACTGTTATATTTTGGCTGATATTCAGACACCAATCCTTTCGCCTACAGAATATTACACATCACAAGAAACGATAACTCCATGTAAGCTATCATGAAATGACAGAGGAAAACTTTATCCTAACAAGAGTGCCAACCAATAATACATAGGTCTTCCTATTTGACCAAAATAGTGGCCAAACTTCAGCATATTATACAAAGACTTCCTCAGATGTCTAACCGAATACAGAAGGAAAAAAAAAAAAAAAAAGGAGTAAACAGCCCCATTTCATCAACATAAATTAGGATCTGAAAATTACTAAGGCATGGCTAACTGAGTTTTCAAAATTTTTGTAGTCCCTCCAAATTTGCTCAATATGACTGGTGGGTGTAACAATAGCTTTTTGGTAAACTTTCCTAACAGCAGTCATCCTTTGTGTTTCTTCAATTGCAGTATGAACCTGCAGTATCATACCATAAGAGGATCAAATAAAGGCAAAGATGACAAAATGTTTGGCAATTGACAAAAGCTAAACTAATCAGGAGGCAATCTCTCACCGGCCAGGACTTCAAAAATACTATATACTCCATCCACAAAGGACCTGCTGCGATATCAGATCCTGTATCCAATGCTCTTATTAAGTTCTTATGAGCACCTTTATGATATAGTACGGTAAAATACATCTACAATATAATTTGATCAAAACATACAGATGCAATACAATCAAGTCAAGGAATCCACATACAGATGCAATACAATCAAGTCAAGGAATCCAGAAACATGATTGCAGATCCTCCAGCAAGAAAAATACTCCATCTATTTCTCTTGAATTAGTTAGGAATGACATGGGTCCATTGACCCACTGAGGTGTTAGTTAAATACCACACACAACTCAAAGGTAACATGATGCTATCAGATCTGGCAAGAAAGACATCAATTATGGTTTAAGAAGCAAGAATTATATCTGACATAAATTATCTACATCCTCGAAAATATACATCTACTGACTTAAAGTGTTTTGGGGACAGAATCAAAATTTTGCAATGATGAATTCAAACGCATGAACCAGAGAGGACACCTCCAAACAACAAACATCAAAAAATGAATTGAATCGAAAATTTTTTGCTTAGATCTATACCAAAACCTAATCTATCACCCAAACCATTGGAACCCAAAATTCAAAATGAAGAAAAGAAAAAGAAGGAGAAGAGGATCACATACAAGGTGGCCAATGCTGAATGGTGAAGATGAAACCGTCGGAAGCCGGAGAAAAAGGTCGAATTGCTTCAGTACAGGGTATTCCGGCAGTCCAATTCCTTGCTGCAAGTGCAACGTTTGTGGCGTTTCACGCAAGGCCGAGGATGATTTCCCAAAGATTTTTATCAAGGATTATTGGGCAAAGAATCTAGGTTCCAGTGAGGTTGACGTTGTCGGTGTTGGGCCGCGGTGGAGATGGAGAAATCATCCGCTCAGAGACTCGTCAATGACAGGAGAAGAAAAAAAAAGAATTAGGCCGTAAAATGGTAAAGGTAGGGAGATCCGGATAGCTTATAACCCGCTATTAACCCGGAAATGACCCGCGAACTAGTCAATTCCATAAGAGTTTGGAATCCCAAATAATAGCTTCTAAGTCCGGAATTAAAATTGTGGCATTGGAAGCCTTTTGGCATTGGGTTAATGCCAATGCCATCTTATTTTTTGGTAGCCGAACACCAGATTTGACATATTAGGGGTCCAAATTCCAAATCCAAGCCCCCAATACCATGCAAACAAACAGAGCCTAAGGATATTCTAAAAGAGACTTTGGAAGCATGTGTTGATTATATCATCAAATTACGGAGAAACACCCTCTTGACAATGGGGAGGGCAGCGTCTCGAACTTAGAGGAGGAGGAGGAAACTCCAGCCACCTCTGGATAAGCTTCCAAGGAAC